CATTTCAATGAGAACAAGATACCCAGCATCTATAGCGGACCCATGGATAAATAAAATTATGATATATTAACATTAGGATCATTTTTTAAGATTTACAGCAAGAGTAATGACATGCAAGCCTGATCAGATCTATAGATATATCTATATGTATTTCATGTCAGATGAGAAGGACCATCCAAAGAAGCAGCAAACAGTTAGTTGTTTCTGAGAGTTCATTTCTTTAGGATGGAACTAAAAATATGATCTGATTTGTGATGTTCATTGTTCACCTGCTGCAGCACCTTCTGCCTGCTGCATTTGTAGATGCTCTCTCCTGTTATTCTGTCTTCCAGATTCTCATGAAGTGTCTCCTTCATTTGTTTGGATTTTGTTTTGTCAGAATGAATGCTCTGTGTGTTATTCTATGATTATATATGATGATAATCATCTGATGTTTTACTCCACAAAATCCCTTTTCGTCTTGAATGATGGGGTATATCAATGATGATCTTTACACATACATAAGAAATCAGATTATTTGGTGCACTCACATAAGTATGAATTCACTGCTTTCAGTCATAGCAGACACAATTTAAGCTTATTAATAACAAATAACATGGCATATTACAGCAACACATTGTATATATATTATTATTTTTAGGTACAGGCATTTGGACTTATGGTGGAATGATAAGTCAGGTTTTGCAGTGTGTGAGATAACTGTCTACAATGTGCTTCTGTCTGTGTGCAATTTAAGACAGAAGGCTGAAAGGTGGTCAATGTCTAAAATTGGTATCCTTGTTCAAGCTGCGCATTTTTTAAACTGCTCAGACATGTGCTGCTTCTTTTATACTTGTGCATAACTAACAATAACTTAGATGTTTAGTCAGATGTTTTTTAGTAAATTGTTAAAGTGAATAGTGTGCTCCAGTATCCTAATTAGTTTTTGTCTGTGAGAATTAGTCTCATTTTTAGTACAATGTTGAATACTGTATTACTAATGTATTTTCCTTGAAAAAGGTGACAAACGTTTCTTCAGAAGGCATAATTCCAGTCTAATACATTTAAGCCATAGCTACTCACCAGCCCCTGGTATCTAAAGGAGTCGTAGACACTCCGGATGAAGAGCCAGAATGGCCAGAGGTACTCGAACCTGAACTCTAGTACAAAGTCTGCCAATAGCACCAGTGCCCACACCACCAGGAACTTCAAGTACAGGAAGGTACTGAAAAAATGAGCAGAAAATTAGATGACTTGAGATGTTTTGAAATGCAAAAACACCACAACCTTCAAAAGTGTTTATTTTCATATTGGCCGTGTGATTTGTGTTGATAAATGGTACTCATCTTTACCCACATGAGTGATTAAGTCGATATATCAAAGAAGCTGAGCTTGATTGTGGGCGTGTGTCGAGTAGAGGGTAAGATGAATGTCTCTGGAGCTGCTGTTTGACAGATTAGGTGCTTGTGTGTGCTGCACTTAGTCTAAGCAGCTTATGTTAAAAACTGCAACTGGGTACAAGTATATGGAAATGTAATAGACTTGTGCAGGAATTCTGTAACAGGCCTATGTCTGCACTTAGGTATGATCTTGTGATGCTGCTTTGAACATTAGGACATGACAATAGCTCATATGTATTATGTTATTACAGTATTTCCTAAGAGCTGATGAAGTAGCAAATGTCCAGCGTGTGCTGATGTAAATTGCTGCTGGCTCTGTCCTGGTGTCACAGTCAATGTCAGTTTAATAGGATAGATTCATTTGATCTCAGTTGACATTTTGTTGTTGGAACAGTAAGACCCAGAAGGTGACACAGTGGGGGGGTTCTTTGAGCTCCAAAGTATGATGGTTGTGTGATGAGGGGGCGTCTGCTCAATAATTCAAGGACTTCCCTGCAGCCTTAGATGCCACGTGTGTAACAAGTGGCTTCTAACGCTAGGTTTATCAGACTCATAGGAAGTCATAAAGATGTAGCATCTGTCAGGTGACACTCAAGTCAGTTTAGTGTCCAGATTGACTGGTTGTAAAGCTGGGTCAACAGAAGGCAGGTGAACTGGGTGCAGTACTATCGTGTATACGGTTAATATTAACATGGGTTAGAGTATTACTGAACCAGCAAGGTGTGTGTGGTGAAGTTGGCAACGAGCACAAAAATCTGCTGTGGAGCTAGCCAACTGAAGTTACATTAGCTAACAGGGGGGCAGCTAATTCTGACAGAGCTGGCTGACAACAGACAGGAGGCTGTGTACACAGTATCATCAAAAGCTTATTTCGGACAGTAACGCTGCTGTTGCAGAGACTTTGTGACACGGTTCAAAACGGCCTGTGTTGCGGCCTAGCGCTGCAGCTAGCTTAACAGCTAACGGTGCCTTCCAACTGAATGTGCACCGAAAACATACTGCTAGCATACACTGGGCTAATACCAGCGGCTAGCTGGGTTATTAAAGAGTGCTAACGGCTGCAGTTCATTAACACGCGAGTGGTAATGACACTAAAGCCCACGCTGTGCAGAGACCAAGCCGCGGGCATCTCCATTCACTGGCCCTCGTTTGTGTCGTGAGGAGGAGGACCCTCCGCCAGGCTCCATAGAAGTTACCTGCCGTAAATACCCTCGGTGATTCGGTTCCGTTTCAACGGCCGTCGGAGTTTGCTGCAGTCCGCATTGCGCCGCTTCATCCTCCTCCTCTTGGCTTTGGCCTTCGAGCAACCGCTGTAGTCTTATCCAGTTTTCTTGCGTACGCGGACAAAAACAAATGGATAAATGAAGTCGCTGTGGTCGTGCGTCGCTGTTGTTATTTTTCTCTCCCCGCTGGAAACAAAGAAATAAATAAAGGACTCTATTCGGGAACCTCCTCTTTTTCTGTCGGCGCAGGCCCAATAAGCCTCGAGCCGCCGCGCTGTATTGTACGTTACGTGCGGTTGTCAGACGGCTGGAGCGTCCAATGAATGTGTCCGCCGAAGCCGCTCCGTGTGACGGATGCGGGGACGAGCCACTCAGGTCGCACCGCGGCCGCTCGGTCACTTCCTCTCTCCGCCAAACGCAGCAGGACAGAGCGAGGAGCCGAGGGCCGCTGCGTGCGGAGCGTCTCGGCCCTGGACCAATCCGGTGTCTGTGGACAAATCGGGCACCGACGATTGACCAATCAGCTGCTCAGGGAAGGCGGGCTCAGTCGTAGAGGTTTCTGCTTTAGGTTTATTATCGTGAGCAGGAAAAAACGCGTCTCTAATATAGTTTGTGCCAAACACAAGAGTCCAACATTATAACACACTGGGGTTTATTATATTCACTGACAGACTTGACTCATGTGTGCTCTCTGTGTTTTGTTACCAGGTGAAAGTGTGTGTGTATTGTCTCTATAATCGTGTGTTTGACAAAAAAAACCTTGGCATCATTAGGATCTTCCTTCATCTTCAGTTTTCAAAAGTAAATTAGACACACACACGCACATCAGAAACCTGAACCTTGACTTTTGTTTTATCTTAAACACATAAACACCAGTGACAGTGTACAAATTACTCTGGTAACTGATTAGAATGACAAACAATCTGATTGGTTTGGTGTTTACATGATGGAAGCGAAACTTTGGGGGAAAAATTGACCTTGGTCTGCAAAAATAAATGCTAAGATATTGCTCAGAGAAATTCTGTTGCTGATATTAAACCTTGAATTGAATACAGGTGGTCCAGCCCTCACATGTTTTGCTGTGCTTGTGAGGTTGATCTCTCAGTCTGCTGGTTTCTTGGTCCCCAGAGGAGGAATCAAAATGACTTTGTTGATCCTCTTGGCCTCATGGCAAGAAGTGAAGATGTATCAGTGACATCAACTTTTCATGTAAGTGTCTGTCTTTCGTGTTAAAAGCCAAAAAAAAAAAAATAGATGTGTAATCAGGCAGCAATGTTGGCTTCACTTTTTCTATTTGTCGTTGTCAAATCCCACACAGAGTATCACATCACTCAGAGTGTATGGAAGAGACTGTCTGTCACTGTTAGGAAACGTTACTCATTAAGGCGTAGCCAAAATTGTGAAGCCAAAAAATAAACAGTGAGTAACTGAAATGCTGACAATAATATGATCACCCATGAGAGTCAACACATTGAAAACATATATAACCTAATAACACACAAACCAAAAAGTGAATTTCACTGTGGGATTAGTTTGATCTCATCTTATTGTATTTACCATTGCCCAAATTCTCTTTCGAATACTAGAGGATTAGTGTTCTTAGTTAAAATAAAAGTCAGGATTCAATCAGCTTTATAATCAATCTTTGATATGCAGGACCAGTCTAGAGCTATTTCACTCTGCTTGCCCAGGGCTGATAAAAAAAAGCTACACTTAGGGTTACGCCCATGTTCAAACTCTCCACATGTGTCAGTTGAAGGAGAAGTGTGCAGAGAACATCTCTAATGGCTCCTCAGTACGCACCAAGTTTGCGCTCCCGTCTGGCTCCTCTGCTGCTCCTCCTGCAGCTGGCCTTCATTGTCATATATGCCTTTTACACTGAGATCCAGGTTCATGGAAAGCCACATGGGGACACCTTCAGTAACATTTACCCAGGTGAGTAGTGAATTTGGAAGAGAGTAGAATGTAGACACTTCATGAGTCATTCAAGAAAAATGCGTTTTCATCTGCATGTTATAGCTTCATTAAAAACTAAATAAAGTCACATTATATGTCAGGGGTATAGGGAGGGGCTGCAATTGTTACTGCTGCTTGCTGATAACATCCTACAGTTACTGGCTGTGTTTTGGGGCAGATGATGTGGTTTGTCTCATGAAAACACAGCAGTAATGAACCAGAAGTGATTGTATAACACATCTGTATTGTTATTCAGATATGTGACAGGTTTTAAAACATGCTGCACGTCTCTCTTGCAGAGTTTCAGGATGTGAACGTGATGGTGATTTTTGGCTTTGGCTTCTTGTGCACTTTCCTTGTTCGGTATGGTTTCAGTGCCTCGGCCTTCAACCTCCTTGTGGCCGTCATGGCCACGCAGTGGGCAGTCATACTCAACGGTATTGAAGACTACAGAGGAAAGATATGGCTGGATTTGAGGAGGTACCGGGTCATATTTTATTTTCAATGATTTTATGAGCAATCTGTTCTGGTTCCTTTACCTCCTTCTCCATCCTGGAAATTAAATGCTGGATGGCTCAAAAATGTCTTGCAGCCTAATATTGACGAGTCAGAGATAATGACTATTGCCCATGGTAAATGTTTTGTATTTATATAGCACTTTTCTAGTCTTGATGACCAGTTTTGCTATTCACCCATTCACACACATTCATATAGTGCATCTATGAGGGGGTTCAGCATCTTGCCCAAAGACACTTCGGCATGCAGATGGGCGAAGACTGGGGATCGAACTGCTGGCTTTCTGGTCGGAGGATGACCGCTGTACCCCTCAGCCACAGCCGCCCTGCAAATACACATTAAAGCACCTGGATCATCCCAAAAAATTTAATATAAATGTACAAACCTCAGTGTCACATTTAAAGGTTCAGTGTGTAGAATTTGGTGACATCTAGTGGTGAAGTTACTGTCCACCATAGAGAAGACCCACTCCCAATGTTAATGTAAAGAATTTAATTATAAAGGGTCTATTCTCGGGTAAAGAAAACAATTGGTAGATGGTACACACTAGTGAAAAAATCACTAGGATTATTCTATATTTAATTTCTGTATATAGATCGCCTTAATCTTACACACTGAACCTTTAATAACGATCTTACTGTACCTTGAACAAGCATGTCAACACTCTCTAAGATCAGCTTTATCCAAAAGAAACCCAGAAATTGTTATTCATGCCTTCATTTGCTCTTGTTTTGATAACTGATATTCTCACATGCCTGAGCCAACAGAGTTTCATAAATGTCAGCTTATCCAAAACACAGCAGTCAGACCTTTCACCAAATCCACGTTCTCCAATTTTAACATCTCTTCATTGGTTTCTGATCCATTCTGGACCTACGCCTAAGTACATTTCAGATCTGAGGTCCTGAGCAGAGGCCCTATACTAGCTATTCCTGAGGACTAAGGGTGACCAGGCCTTTTCTGTAACAGCCCCTATACTCTTTGTAACATCCCCCCGAGGAGATCTGTCTGGTAAACTCCCTATTCTCTTTCAAACCTCTCCTAACTCTTCCAAATGCAAAAAATGCCTGAAATTGAATATCCAAATTAAAATGGCTGAAGTTTCTGAACCACTCTGAATACACACATGAATGAGGTCTTGCTAGAAAGAAGTGTGTTTTCACAGGACTTTTGCTCTGAATTCACCTTCATGTCTTTGTTTTTATTAATTAATTTAAACCAATTATTTTAATAATTCCATGTTTTGTCTTTATTGTTTTTACTCTTTATAACTCTTTTATTCTGTATTATTTGTGTCTATGTGATCTTCAAATTACTTTTCTATTTTTTACCCTTGATTATTCTTTATAAACTTATAAAGCACCTTGTAAAAGCATGTTTTGAAAGATGCTTTATCAATAAAGCTTATTGTTATTATTAGTATTTATTTCAGAGTTCTAGCTTTTAAACCATTGCTTGGAATGTTTTAATACAGCTTGGTAGAAGCAGAAATGTGCACAGCCTCCGTCCTCATTTCTATTGGAGCTGTACTGGGTAAGACCAACCCTGTTCAGCTCATCCCCATCGCCCTGCTGGAGGTGTCGGGGTTCATCTTGAATAAATGGGTCCTGCAGACTCTGCTGAAGGTAAATAACATTTGATCCTTTCATCAGATCCAACATCAGTGCATTGGCTTGTCCTGATTTTGATGGCACTGTATACTGCTGCTGTTGTTCCCTGACTGCAGGTGCGACTGGTGAACAGCATCATGATGCTTCACATCTTTGGGGCTTTCTTTGGACTCATGCTGACTTGGATCTTGCAACGGAAAGGTTCAGAACGGCGATTTGAGAAAGAGAAAATCCACCACAGATCTGGATTATTCTCCATGTTGGGTGTGTAACATTCAGTTTTTCTGATGTTACTGCTAAGGTTTGTTGTGCAGCAGGTGGGATGGCAGAACAAAATTGAAACCCTGTTCTCTGTTCTGCAGGGACTTTGTTCCTCTGGATGTTTTGGCCCAGTTTTAACTCTGTGCTTTTGGACGATCGTAATTCCTGGGGGAAGCTCGGGGCCGTGTGCAGCACTTACCTGGCCCTGGCTGTCAGTTCTGTTACAGCAGCTGCCCTTTCCGTGCTCTCCAGTCCCAAAGGAAAACTCAACCTGGTACGATCTGACACCTGATATTTTTAACACACACTTATGCCTCTTCATGGAACTGCCTTGAGACCATGAAATCTACCCTAAAATTGAATCAGTCAATATGCGTGGTGTCGGCATGATCTGATTCTTTGCGTCTTCGCTCCTCTCTCAGATCCATCTGCAGCAGTGCAGCCTTGCTGGTGGTGTTGCTGTTGGTGTGTCCATGTCTGTGGTTCATCAGCCATGGGAGGCCATGATGATTGGATTCACTGCTGCTGTTGTATCAACCATTGGACACAGATACATCAAGGTTTTTATCACCAATAGCACAAATCAAATAATGTATACGTCCAGATTCCTGATAATCTAATATTTTCCAGACTCAAATGCAACTTGCATTTCTATGCCACGACACCTGTGCTGTTCTCAGTACACATGGACTCCCTGGACTACTGGGATGGACGGCACATCTTCTGCTGCAGATAAAAGACTGCGACGACCACACAACGTAAGATCGCATCAGTCGTATGAAAGGCATCACAGCACACACAGGCAGAAAAGGTGTGATACCTTGTGTCTTCATTTTCAGAGCAATCCATTTCGCTGTATTTCACATTTTTACTCTTCTCATCACCATCGCTATAAGTCTGGTCATGGGAATCATCACTGGTAAGTTTCCACTTTCACCACCTCGTATAACAGAGGACAGAACATGAATAAAATGTGTGAAACTCCCTTAAAACGCCTCATTTAACAGTGTTCTACAATACAACGGATCACAACCCCAGCTGTGTATCGACTGTGTTTACATGTGTGCCATTCGTAAGATTGTTTTCTTGGTGACTGTTCTGTTTAAGGACTTCTGCTTAAGTGGGACTTCTGGAGACCACCCCAGGACAAGAAATGTTTCGATGACCAGGCTTTCTGGGAGGTATGTAATCGACATTATATTCCCCTTTCTACAATGAAAATCATTTCCAGTGAGACTAAACAGTTCTGCACATTTTTCTGTTTTCTTTCAAAGACAAATAATTTCTATATTTTGCAGTTTCCTAAATTAGCAGTAAGAAAGTGAGACGGTGGAGAAAGAAATGGGTCAAGTCTGGAATCCTGGAAGTGAAAAATATTTTCATGTCAGTGTATAATATTATATACATGTATTATTTTAAAACAAGGGTGTTTTTTTAAGAATGAATGTTTAACTAGAGAAACATGAATGTAAGTCATTTATTGTTCAGTAGGTTTATGTTTAATGCTGTCATACTTGTCAGGAAATAACCTCATGGATTTGGATATTACACAAGCAAAATGTATATGAGTAAATATAGCAGTGAAATAAAACAATAAATGTGGATGATGCTTCAGAGCTGACGTCTTTTACAAACAACCCAATATGGTTACATTCAGCATGTGTGTATGTGTACAGTATTTTGAAACCTGGCTCTCAATACATTTTGTATCATAATAACTTATGTTTTTCCAATTGCTCACTCAACAGTTCGAATTAAATGACGTCGTAGCAGTCCAAAGGAAACAAGGACAGTTCAGGGCAGAGCATCTTCCAAAACACATATTTTGTTATACACAACTTGTAAACCCCACTAACTAGGCTACATTTAACGATGCAGTGCATTTGAAAATACTTAAACTTACAATGATTCTATTACAATTTGTGCTTAGTTATGATTAAGCGTTTAAACGGGAAATGGTTTAAATTAAACATGTTAATTTAAATGCTAAAAAAGTTTTTTTTTAGATATATATTTATAAAGTGAAGTATATTGTCTCATACAATATAGAAAGCAACGAGTAGAACAGCGGACATAAAGACACACAGTCCATTACTGCCACAGATCCTCTGTGCGACCAAACTTGAAGACCAAACCCCTGCAAGGAGAGACAGGAGGGTGGTATGAGAAAGTGAAGGCTGAGAATGGGTTGGAAGTAAGATGCCACTGAGGACTATCGACTTACCCAAAGAAAATGAATGCATTCTGGAAGAAGATGGCAATACCCGGGTACACGACAGGCTTCTCTGCAAAAGACAACAGGTTCACAGAGGTTATAAAGTGGGGTAGTTTCTACTATTTTGTTAAGTATCACACTTAAGTTGGAGAATATGTTTTTTCTTTTTTTCAGTTACTCCTGTTTATTCTCTCTGTCTTTTGAGAAGACACAGCTTATGTACGCAAACAGGTTCGTCTGTTGCAAACTGTCCGTCACTGTCCACAAACTTGCATGCATCCCTTATATCGACATGGCTGTTAAGCGATATATCCACTAAGCGGGCAGAGTTTCTGACAAACACGGCGATGGTGGAGAAAGTTGTAAGCGCGTTGTAGTCGGACACACGTGGACAGTGAATTCTTTGTTGAAATTTCATACTGGTGTCCTGTGATTGTCTCTCTTGAGCTACTAACGCTACCTCCATGATTTCCAGTGGCCATGCTCCGTTCAGTCCGTATCTGCAAGCTTTCACAAAACGTCCACGAATAAGGACAAAATGAAAGCAGAGTACGGACAGAAGGGTCGTCTATTTCCAATGCGTGACACCCCAAAACCGATTACTGAACAGTCGATGCGCCATGTGGACAAACTTACGAGGCACCACAAATCCTCCGAACAGAATCCACATGGAGGCGATGAGAGAACCAAAAGCCAGCATGAAGCCAATGAAGAGCCACACTCGTGCACCTGCCGACAGAGATAAGAGAGGGTGGATTACTACGTGGCTCAAAATGCTGCTTCCTTATGGGTTTGTGTTTTACTGCATATGTGTTGTAATAGTTGTACAAGGAGATGAGAAATGAGAAATGGAGAAAATGAACTGTATATGGAGAAATATGTTCACAATACAGAGTAACTCATCGTGTCTTTTCTACCACACTCACCTGTCTGTCCAATGCAGCCTTCACTGTAGCTGTCTCCTCTCACTTGTCCATTTGAAACAGCATTTATCCTAAATGGGTCAAAGGAGAGATAAAAAACAATTACAAACATATCAGAAGCTACTTAATAAGTTGCCTATTTAATCCTGACTGGATGATTATATCTGTAATTTCCAAGCAGAACGGGAACAGCCAACGAGAGAGACAGGAGCAGCCGATGGTGCTACTGAGCAACGATTTATTCATTCTGCTTTTGTTTATTACCATTATAGCAAGTTGTCGCTACATGCTTCCCCATGAGGTCCCAGGAGAGACTTGAGATGGAGTCTCGCTGCGTCTGGAGCAATAATCAAAATAATATCTTGTAGTGCGTGATGTGCCATTATTTTCTAATCTTTAAGTGTGGGTGTGTTTAAGATTATAGAGAAGAATATTTGTGAAGATGGTCCTCATGTTCTTAGTGGAACCCAATTTCAAAATTCGTAAGGTTTTTAAAACTCCTGTCGTCTGAGCCCAGCTTTACTTGTGGATGTAGATGCTGAATTGCCATGGAGATGGTTTAGTCGCTATCATGTGACCTAAGTATGGAAGTCACGTGATGTCAGAAAGTGGAAAATAGAATAAACAGACTTGCAGCTATGACTGGAAAAGATCTTAATTCAACAACCAGTAGTCAGTAGACTTAAAGTGAAAGACTAAGGATGATTTAAAACTTTTAAATAAACCCCACTATCATACGTCCACCTGTTATCTTGTGACCAAAACGCCATACTTATGTCATGTAATAACAAATGTTCCATTTCAGTTGCAACTTAACTCTATCTGCTGAGAGAGACCTCAAGATGGGGCCGCAACACAAAGTGAGTGGACCATGCAGTGACAATTTTCCCCAAACTTTAGGCGATTATATTCCCTTCAAGAGAAATAGTCCACTAATGGTGACTCACATGAGAAAAGCCACTGTAGCGATGACTCCACAAGTGTGATATGCATGATGAAACTCTCCCTGATCAGGATATTTCACTGCAGCGTCGATGATGATCCACCAACCAGTGAAGAACTGCAACAACACGATTCATAGTTAGTCAGAGGAGATCACTGCTTTCAGACATGAACTGAAGTCCACCCATTTTCCACACAAGTTTCCCCAGAGTATGTGAGAACGCAAATCGCAGCCCCCTAGTAAAATGTCAGAGTGAGTCCAAGTGAGAATCCAGCAGGAAAATGTCCAGAAAAATTCACAGTGAGCGAGTGGACGTATTGATGGCCTTTGTAACACATGACGGACACACTGCAGAAGAATTCAAATACATACACATAAAAAGAAGAGAACGAATTTGTCAATGTGGAGAGACGACAAGATCTGAGAGCGTTAAGCACCTACACCAATGTCGGTATGCAGTAAACAAAATCATTGGGCTTTCCACAGCAGAATTTACACGCCATGTCCTGCCTCCGACATGCAGTACCAACCCCTGCCTGAATGTTCCGGGCATCTCCCTTGTTGTGAACATGTCTGATCCACAAAATCTTCTGCTGCGGTCCCCAAATGTGGAAGGTAAACTGTGGAAAATGTCTGGAAAATGGGATCCGAATATTGTTTGTGTCTGAAAAGAGCTTGACAATTTGCTGATCCATGAAGCTTTAATAACAATAATGTATAATCTGCATCTGTCTTGCTGTGCGGGGGTTTGCTCTGTTGCCTCACAGCAAGACGGTCCCAGTTTGAATCCCAGTCTACTGGGCTTTTTCTGGGGGGAGTTTGCACGATCTCCCCTATGTCTGTGTGGGTTCTTCTCCAGGTGCTCCAGCCCACAGAAGGTTAATTGAAGACTCTAAAGTGGGAAGAGTGGGAATGGAATGATCGTTTCTAAATGTTGTTCCTGCCAAACCCTGGCGACCTGTCCAGGATGTACCCTGCCCCTCACCCAATGTCAGCTGGGATTGGCCCCTGCGTTTCAAAAAATTATTACCAAAAACTATTAACAAACAGAAATCCCCAATTTGACTAACTGTGTACAGATTGTCGCAGAGGTTGACATTATACATTGTCCCAATATAACATTATTAAAGCTCCGCAGGTCAGCAGACAGTTGAGCTCTTGTCAAAAAAATACACAACAGTAACTCAGATCTCAAAGTAGCCTACAGTGTGTGTGTGTGTGTGTGTTAAACTGAGGACATCAGTGTTCATACCAGCACTCCAGCTGCTACAGATGCGATGGTGTTCCTCCGCTCCCCCCAGTCCACATTACACTCGCAGTCTCCGCACCGGATTCCGTCCAGAAAACCTGACATGACTCAATCTGTTGAGTGTGAAAGTGAAAGCAACATCATCAACTTCAGAGAAATAATTGAATCCAGATCAACGACACGAGTGATGAACGGTGGATTGTATACGTCATCAGATCGATGTGTACAGTAGGTAGAAATCAGCGTGTAGCCTACTTCCGGGCGCAGCAGCTGAGCAGGAAAGATGATGCTCAGCTTCCTCGGTCGAACACTGAACAACAACAACAACACAAACTCCATCTTTATCCACTAGATCGGCAGCAGACTGACACATGTTCAACCACCAGAGTGTCGACATATCACATTAACACGCAGCAGAAGCTCACGGAGTTCCCCACCGACACGGCCGAGTCGAGGCTTTTGTTCATCGCTTTGATACGAGCGATCATTTCCTTCAAGGTTTCTTCCTCCTGCGTAAGAGGCTGAAAACAGCGTCGTGGCTGGAAGGACAGAGTCTGAGGCAAACAACGACACGCAGCCCAGTGTGTTTATTTCGCGACAGGGTCTTGGAAACGGATTCGTTACCTTTCGGTGGGTGTTCAGCAGCGGAGCCCCGGTTCAACCACACTCTGCTTCAGAAGGAGCTGGGGTCACGCACATGCGCAGTTGGTAGATGAGAGATCCGCTGCGTTCAGGAACTGTGGGACATGACGGGACTTGTTCTTAAAAGTACACGAACATGAACGCAACTATTCCATTTTGTAGTAAACCTCATAAGAAGGGATAGTAATACGTTCAACTTATATTTTACTTAATATGAAACACAGTGGATGAGCATATTTTAGAGATCCATTGACGCATTTCATACTATTGCTTTTGCTACTACTACTACTACTAATAATAATAATAATAATAAAATAAAATAAACTTGATCTATATGACAATTCAAAACATAGTTAGAAGGTGCTTTACAGGTTAAAAATAAAGACCTGCAGGCAAACAATCTAAAACTAGAATGACGCTCACCTTTGCCAAGGCCCAACCGTCTCCTTAACTTTAATCAAGCTGCACCACATTCCTCACACTCACAAATGTGAGTGATTTGATTTGATTTGAACCATTCCAGCTAAATGCTGTTTCAAATGGAGGAGAGGAGGCAGCTTCAGTGAAGGCTGCAAGAGTGAAAACAAAATGAAGAAAGAGATTATACCTTACTATCAGAACAGTTGGGAAGATTTTTGTCCCTTGTAGACCTGCATGGCCCATTTGCATTTGACTAAGCTCAAAGTGTGTCAGCACAACGGCTAAATACAAGTTTAAATAACAGAGGGTCTATCAGAACAGACAGTCAACAGTACATTTGACTTCATCTAATATTGTTTGTGGATCTTGAGTATCCTTAACCTCATAGGACATTAGTGCTTGGTTTGGCTACGCAGCGTGAGTGAGTCACATGGGGCTGTCATGCCTCCTGCTAAGTCTTTCATTATTCACACTCTACTGTGCTTTCAACTGGGTAGAGGACTATAAAGAACATACTGTATGTGAAGCAGTGGTATCACACAGCATTCCTCTCTTGAAAAAATCATTGACCAGGGTTTTTTCCTGAGATTTCAGGGCAGCAGAGTTTACAATGTGCTTATAAGTTAATGGAAAGCCTTGCATTGACAACCCCATATTCCTGCCTCTTTGGAATTCAACGCTTATTCAGTTGGTTTTACAAAACACTGCTGCCAGCTTGTTCTTGATGCCATCCACATTTCCTTGGAAATTATACATTTCTGTGGCATTTAGGTCAGTCCACATTTCTCTTTTAGTTGCATGTATTATGAACAAATGCAACATCAAACAATGACATCACCCTAAGAGGAAATCGAAGTAGAATCCATTGCATTTCCACTCAGAATGAGCTCAGCTCTTACAACGATGCACCTCGTCTCATCTCAGTACAATGGAGGAAATAAAGGCAGCTCTAAAAACTTTTAAAAAATGACTCTGTATTTACTAAGCATATGTCTCAATAAAATGTCCACCTTCTACCATTAGTGGTTTATTGTCCTACCAACTTGATCAAAGTTGGGTTAAAACCTTTGTCTTCTGCTATGGCTGGTTGAACAATGACCAGACAAGTGTTTTGCAGAACATAATAATGCCACAGTGAGTTCACCCAGGACCCTTTTGGATAAAAAATCTCATAATTGTGTCCTATTAAACATATGAGGGATTTTTTTTGCTTTATGAGGTCGCAGAGGCTATTAAGATGGATGACACCTCTCTAATTCTTCCCACTGTCCATAAATGAAGCCAAAATTATATCCTATATCCTACTTATATACTCCTGCTGCCATCTTGCACATCTGGAGCCAGAGTCTGCAGAGTAGCAATAGCGAGATGGAGCCAAGGTACTGAGGTCCCACTGATACACACACTCGACCAATCGTTGTCAAGTTTTACCCCATTTTTATAGCATCAAATAACTCATTAAAACCAAAGTTAAGGGGGAAAAAAATACTTACATGAACATCAGTGTAATAAGAACTATCTAACATGACGTAAACCACATTTGAGAAAATTGTATTTGAAATGTGCTTTGATTTTTTTAGTTTGACACATGCCCCATCGGATAACATGGAGCAGTCAGGTTTATGATCTACACTGCAGCCAGGCACCTGGTGGTGATTTGGGGCTTTTGTTTCACTATTGGGCAACTGTCATGTCGTCCATCTTCCTAAACAGTACAGTCCGTGCTCTTGACCAGCAAACCCTAATCAATTAATCTTTGTGTCCAAGTTTGACAGATTTAAGAGAGTCTGTGATACAAGAATCCTCTTTATTGTCAGTGATTACATGAAGCAGAATTTCATACAAATACTGGAATACAAAGATATCAAGCATTTAGTGGTCTATCAAAGTGTGTTTCACATATAATTAGAAAAGACAGTATTTAAAGAATTGTAATGCTACTTTATTGTCGATACATTTGAAAATGTCATGCAAGCTAATAATGATGAGCAAAGTCATCAGTCAGAGAAAAGGACAATCACCTTAAAAGACACCAAGCAACTGTAGAGCGACAGATATGGACAGAAAGATGACTCCGAAGAGTCCAATGTAACCATAGGCACCATTCATTCTCTTAGCTGGATCTGGAATAAAACACGAAACAGGAAAATTTTGAAACTTGCAGAGCAGTGGGAAATAAAATGGATGAAATATGAGCTTATAGGAAATTATGTACTTTGTGTTTTAATCTTTCAAGGCCCGTTAACACATCTAACTCATGTCAACACTTCACAAATGAATATTAATAAATTATATTTAAAATGTAACAGCCTAAAATTGTGTTTAAAAATTATTTAACACATATAAACAGTGGCTACAAAGGGTTTAGGTGCATTTGTACAGTGGCCCTGAGGGTCAATGCACAATGACATTTGCAGAAAACATACCATCAATTCATGTTTACCTTATTATATGTTTATTTCTAGTATATGTAAGAAATTAAACAGAAAGTAATATCTGTCCTTTCCTGTTACATCATTTCACAAACCAGTAGCCATTAAAGTCAATCTTACCTCCGGTGTAGTAGCCCCAGGCATAGGAAAACCTGCTGGTCACCCAAATAGCCCCGAGCACGGACGCTGATAACTGAGATTTAAAAAACAGACAATCAGAATCAAAGGGAAGACACAAGGGTTAGTTTAATGACAAAATGCTTCATCACAATGACTCTGCTTTTTTTCCCTTTGACTGTTATCTGGAGAATATATACCAAAGATCACAAGGAGTGGTTGCTCCTCCCACAAATCTGACATAACATGTAATATCACCTTATGTAGCTTATAATATCCACCTCTGAGTAGTTAGTGCAGTCAAAATGATTAGAATGTTTTGCACAAAAAACACAAGTAGTTGATTCGAATTGACCACCATTGTTTAAAAATGATACATACCGGATAGACAAGAGCTGCAATGGTCTGGAACACCAGCCACTGAGGGTAAACCTCCAGGGTGTTCTGATGTGCTCTCTGGATACAGTTATACACTGGCTCCTTGTCACTGTACATGGCGGGATACTGCAGAGAGCATGCATGTTAGAAAGGCTGCCATAACACGTTTAAGGATCCAATGCAACATGAAGACATTCAATAAAGAACAGACAGACTGGTTCACATTCCACCGTCAAGATAATTATCTACAAGTCCAACTTCACCGACCTTAACTCCGTACTTCTTCCTGGCTCCTCCAACCTTGACTGCCAAATACCCCAGCATCACCCAGCTGTACAGGTAGGTAAATATGGCGTAACCGAAGTTGGAGGGTAACACGGTGAGGACGTCCATCTCCGCTCGACGTGTTGGTCAGGTTTCAGCTGCAGGAACACGCGGAGGCGAGACGACTTTAACCGACTCAGAGGAGGAAGTGTCAACAACACTGCGGTTACGTAAAACATCGCGAGACTTCCTGCCGCTTTCTGGACCCACAGATGAATTTGACGGGAATCGCTTCTTTCGCAATAACGAGATTATGTGTCGTTGAATTGTTTTTATGCATTAAATGATTTTGTTCATACATCAAAACTATTGTTTTAGAAAATAACGACACACGTTTGTTTGGTAAGAATTGATATTATTATTGATGGTAAAAGACAGTTTGAACCTTTTTACTCTGTATGAGAAACACTGACTAAAACAGAATATACATACAACGATTCAAAAATAGAAATAAGGCACCAAAGTGAAACAATACAAAGACTGAAGAATTGTAATGCGATAAAGTAAGAAACCGTAGAAATGAGTAAAGTCTTTAATTTTTTCTACCATGTGCAATGTTTTGTTTTGTCGCTTTGCTTGAATTGTATACCACATTTGTTTCATATGAACTGTGTGACTTTCACATAGTAATGGGGGAAAAGCTTATAATACAGTATGTTATGTAACGTTATATTGTATTATCTATGATTCTATTCTACTTAATTCTATTCTATTCTATTCAGTTAAGTTGTGTTGTATACTATTGTATTATAATCTATTTTATTCTGTTGTACTATATTATATTGTATTCTCTATTATCCTGTTGTGTTGTATTATATTCTCTTGTGTTGTGTTATGTTATATTCTCTATTATTCTATTCTGTTATGTTGTGTGTTATATTGTATTATTCTATTCCACTTATTCTATATGTTATATTCCTCTATTCTATTCGATGATAAGGGCACATGTGTCACTTTAGGAGAACACATATCATAATAAAGAAAATAATGGCTGCCACAGTGAACGGTTGTGTTTGCCATGACGACGGTACGCCGCTCAAAAGGGTCCGACCTTCCCGTGTACCACGTGACTGGAATTTTCCACAGCCCGTTTAAACTCGTGGCTCCGCCTCCTTCACCTCATTCGAGTGACGACGACTAAAAGCTCGAACCTCGACGGAGACGGACTCCTGCGCTTTAGAACAGATTTCACCTCAAACCAACGAGAAACATCACAACTGCGGTTTTCTTATCGTTCGCTTTTCACCCGGTGACTCGTGTTTCACAGCGACGTTCTCTAAACCGCGTTTATACCGACGACCTCCGAACAAAGGATTGAATCTTCGACCGGCCTTGGTAAGTAGCAACGCGGCAGCTAACGTTAGCATAGCTCTGTTTTAAAAATCTAGAGTCACGGCCTAACTATTGTAATCGTCTTTAACGGGCTGTTGTAAATATACATGTAATATCCATGTAATTAATCACATGTAGAGGGCCGTGTGTTAATGACGGTGTTATTGGTTGGAGCAGACGGTAGCTCGTGCTAGTCGGGGCTACTTTAGCTTGAGTCATTCTGGAAATTTCCAGTTTGTGCAATCACGTGTCTGTTGTTTGGCCGCTAGAGGCAGCACTGAGGTATCAGCTGTTATGCAACAGTCATAACCCCCTCCCCCACACACTCATAAACAAGCGGGTATTATTAAGGCATTGATTCTAAATCAAACGGTTATAATATTATATTAATTAATTGTTCTTTTTCATTAAATCTGAATTTGTATAAAAAGCGAATTGTTGAAAGCTCATGATTTCTGCTCTTGTTTCAGCTTGTGGCAGAGATCAGAACAATGGCCAAAGGAGAAGTCTCACACTCAGAAATGGCCCACGCTCGTCAGAGTGACGGCATCAGCGTCATCTTTGACCACAACATCCCTGCTTCGTCTCGCTCCCGCTCCCGCAGCAGCGGTGGCTCCTCTGGCCGCCACAGGGTGCGCACCAGCCACAGGAGACCTCACAGGTCTTCATCCTCATCTTCAGTGTCATCCTCATCCAGCTGCAAGTTGTCATCTCGCCCTAGGTCCCGCTCTCACCCTCGCTGCCACAGACGTTCCTCACGCTGCCGCTGCGACAGCCATCGCAGAAGTGACCGTCATAGGGGCTCCCCGCCACGCCGCCTCAGAACACGCTCCCGCTCCCACAGCCGCTCGTCCTCGAAGGACAGGTACTCGAGTAGAAGAAATCACAGGTCAGGCTCCAAGTCTGCTAGCTACAGGAGTAGAAACAGGAAGAACGAGGGCCAGGTTAGACACAAAATTTCCAGATCCCCAAACAGAAGCCACAGGAGCCAATCCAGATCTTCAGGACACACAGTCCGCCTGGCTGTTGATGGTAAGTTAAAATCGCCTTTACAGTTAATCTTAATCTTTTTCCCATTAATTTTTTCATCTGATTGAATCTTCTCTCAATACTTCCCTATGTTGCCCAGATAAGAGAGAAGCCAACGCAATGAAGATCCTCAGAGTGGAGAAGCTTGATCTTCCAGAAAGTGTGAAACCAGTCCTGTCAGAGCAGTGGGTGGAGTCCAAAGAAGCTTCACCAGAACGGGAGACATGGGTGAGACAAGACCCTGAAAAGACGACGTCACAGGTGGGTGTCAGAACGTGAATGTAGGCTTCATACTGAACACATCACACACAATACAAGAGGCATCGTCACAGATTCTAAACCGTCTTGCATCTAGTTTTTAATCAACCTGGACTACATGTAGGTACAAATCAAGTGGATTTGACAAATAAGGGTAGGTAATAATTTTCATACCTCTTGTTCATAATGGTGCAGTGACCATGTATTACATTTTTAGACTGTGCAAGAGAGAAAAATTGCTCCTAGCTGTCGAACCATTTTATCAAAGTAGCAACAGACTTGTAGTTGATCAAACGCAGTGTAACATACATGTCTGTTGATAAGCATGAGTTCTGTGCTGTGTTGAATTTCCTGTCTTGTGTTGACCTTTGGACCTCTGAGGGAACACACATACTCTCTGTATTTATTCCTGTCTTCATAGATAACATGACAGTGGTCTCCTTCACTCATCGGCACCTGGGATTAAAAGGCTGTCATGTGACTTGGGTGAAGACTAATTGTGTTTGCTTGAAAGGTTAAACTGATAATTCTTGTGATGTTGGTCTGCAAACAAACCCACGCATATATGTAAACATGCTCACATTTTGACACAATGCTAACTACACACATTGATACCAGGATGTTTTACACAAAATTTGTGATATTTTATGACACTTCATATAGAAAAGCAATATCAATTTTGACATTACAATTGTATGTATGCTTGCCGTTGAAATGGGTCATTGTTATTTAGCAGACTCCTCCTCTCACTGATGGAGCGCAGGCGTGTGGACTGCGTTATAGTGACTATTCCTGTCAAGAGAGCTAAAAAAGACGAAGAACTCCTCTCCGTATGCCAAAGATAAGTTGGTACACGAGGCGTGTGCTGAGGGGCTGGGAAACCTGCGTCACCATCATTCTGCCACTCTAGTCAGAGAAGACATCCTTTCTAATTTGTTCTTTTTGTTTGCATTGCTTTAGTTTAACTCAGTTGCAAGGTCTGTTATGGAAGCATTCATTGAATGTTTGAGTTTAGTCTTTGACAGCTGTTGGGGGGTGTGCATGAGAGCTGCAGTTTGTTGAAGCTAATGCTTATCGATGCTATAGAAGTGCTTTAAAATATTAGCATTATCCTTTTTAATCCATCTATATAGACCTAATAAACAGTCAAAGCTCGGTGCATTAGATTTGCTCACATCTAACTAGGTGTGTCTGTCTTGTCTTTTTGAAACAGAGCAGTGATGAAGAGCCTGATGACATTTCCAACCCAAAGATGTCCCCTATTAGAAAAACCATCTCTTTCAGCATTAATGTAAGTTTCATCTTGTCCCTGTTTTTACTGATCTGTTGTAGATATGATGTCTATATACAAGACCGTATGCTGTTAACATCACCCTGAACGTATGATGTCCTGATGGTTTTCCTTTTCTTCTCATCTTTAGAATTCTGTGGCCAAACCAACAGTAGCAGCTCCGTCCTCTGCTAAGGTAACTCCCAGAGTGGACAGCTATGAAAGCAGGAAGCCCTACGGTCACTGGGTTCAAGTCAGATCGGGCAAATCCTCCAAAGCACGCAAACACAAACTCACTAAGTCACACTAGTGTGACGAGAGTTTACGGACACTGTAAATAGTGTAAATGTGTTGTACATGCGTTTATTTCATCGTCAACATTTTTTTTCAGATGAGTTAAATGGGAAGAAGTAAGGAGTGCTGTACAGGTGGGATTATCTTTTGCCCTTTGTCGTGTATTAAGCTGTGAACAGATTTAATAAAGATGTTTATTTGATCACAATATACTGATTGTCATTTTTTGTAACCAGAGACGGCCTCTGGAGGGAGGGATTTAGTTTGAACTGGTTCATCAGTAGAGGGGTATGTTTCCAGATATATTTTTAATGTGGTAGCAGTGGTTATTCATTCATACAGAATATTGCTTTTATATGTAACTTGTATTAAGCGGCACATACATTTAAGACTATGATAAATTGATAATAAAAACAAACATGACTTGGATATAGGTTAGTTGTTAGAGTACACATACAAAGAGACTAGATGGCACAAATACCTTATTTCAAAAATTATCCATGTGTATGTTGCCAGTTGCACGTGTGTGTCAAGATTGGGCAGAATTTAATAAATTTGAAAGTACATGGAAAAATAATTCAAGTGAGCTGCATTTCCCATGATGGCCACATGGTGTCAGTATCTGCACCAATGTTGCTATTGAGCAAAGGGATGGTGGTTGTCAGATTATCATTATTAAGTCAGTTAATTTAATGTTTTAAGTATTATAATGTACTCATACACTTCTTTGTCATAGTATAGTGACGCCTCCATCTAGTCCACGGTGTAACAACAAGGCTCATGATTGGCATTTTATTTTTATCCAATATTACAATGGACCTGTTTCAGACATTAATGGCTGAAATCTGTGTTGCATCAGTGTCTGGGTCCTGGTACTGTGCGTAATGGTTTCCTGTCCTGACCAGATTGTTCTGTTAACATTAATAGAACCATTGTTAATGTTAGTACCACCTCTACTTTCCAACCATGACAAGTGAAAAAGTCTCTTGTGTAAAAATCCTTGAACAATTAAACACAGGAAGAATGTTTTTTTTTGTCCGATGGGATGATCTCCAACCATCCGTCAGCGTCACTGACAGACGTCTGCTAATGCAGAACTCCAACATGTTCCATCTTGGGTAACCTGATACAATCCTCTGTTGTGGCTGCTGTGCTACTTACCTTAAAACTTGTGTGTATTAGGCGTGACAAGTTTTTGGCATTTGTTGGAAACGCTCGTGAATTATTGCAAGAAGGTAACATATCTGTCGGGTTTAGATAACCATCTCCTGAGTAAGTAATACGTTTTCAATGCTTCCAAGATTTTCCAGGCTGATATATGGACGCATGTCAAAATCTGTTGTAATAATAGAGTAAAATCACACTGTTTTGAATGTCTTTACTGCCAGACTCCGTGTCTCCTGCTGTAAACCGACCTGTTAATTCTGATTCATTACCGAGATGGAAGATAAGGATGCAAACGAATGATGCATTGATATTCAGTTGTAGTTTTACTAAGCGAATTAAGACATGCCTTTCTTATTATTCTCGTATGACTATCATGAATGTTATGTTTCTTTCTTTGGAGATTTTTTTAAGTGTGATTTGATGCCACTCAGTCCCTTTTGTATCTGTGGGAAAACTTGTTGATTGGGCCTAAATCAAAGCCTTTTCACCTTAGAGGGAACACTTAACTGGCAGTTGGCCTTGAAAGAATCAAAGGTGTCAGCCTATGAGACACAGTTGTGAATTTATGCGCCGCTGTTACTTGCAAAATTCCCAGCCAACATCCTCCGGTTAATCAGATAAAGAGGACAAAAATATCCCAACCATAAACCAGAGCACTTAATCCAGCCCCCCCGAACAGATCTGCAGCAGAGTCACATATCAAAAGACTGATTTTGAAGACCTCCTCTAAACTTTCATCAGCAACAACAGTGTGTGCCAGGGAGTGTCCCATAAATTCCCTCTGAGAAGTGACTAATCAAGCTAAAATATACCCAGCGGAGCCCGGGGTGTCTGATTCATTTCCATGTAGGTTTGACTTCCACTGACTCAAACCTGTCAGTTTGCCCGGTAGAGGGTGCACCGCCACCGTGCTCCGACACTGAGAAACTTGCATGGGAACCTGTTTTCATGTCTTATCTCGTCTCCAGTCACAAGGCTTTCCTGCTCATGTCACAGCTTCGGGCAAGTTGGTTAAACTGAGATGTGGGTGATAATGAATAAATTGAATTGCTCAATTGTTGCTCCTAATCTTCTGTGTGTGCACCTACACTAAAAAACATTCTTCTGGCTGGCATCTGGCTGCTAATCAAGCCCCCGGGCCGGGATGGTACTTCATTCTCACGCTCAAGATGTCTCTTGTCATGAGACCACACACACGAAAAACCCACAGAAAAACCAAAAAGTGTGCAAGATAACTGGATAATTGCAAGTGGTTTATTTAAAAATAAGGATGGGAACATGAGCATGTGTTGTTTAAACATCTAATACTGTACAAAGGAACACCAAACATTACATATCACACAGATGACCGAGTTATCTTTCAATAAAAAGATGTTTGAGAGCAGAGATTAGAAAAAGAAAAAACGGAACCAGCTAAAATCCTCTGAGGTGACTAGACAGCCGTGCCTCTCTCCAGGTTTTGTTTGATCTCCGCTGTGTATTTGCCGTAGAAACGCTCCGCCTTCTTGTTGAACTTGGCGTTCCTCTCGTTGATGTAGTCGATATCTGCGTCGTCGTTGTAGGCCCTGCGCCGGCTGTACTTGGCCCGCTTCTCGATCCTGACAATCGCAAATAAAAGTGGCTTAGGGAGGATTTCACAAACCAGTATGACCGCTCTCCATGACACATCCATTAACAATAATTGGCTACAGGCAATAATTTGGCAGTGTGCGTTTAAATTTGGCTGAGGAGAGTGGCGATGGAAAACGAAACACACACACACTCAAGAGGAAAATACAGTCAATTTGTGAGCTCCCAGTCTTGATTCACTGTGTCTTCAAAGCATTGTTGTGCGTCATACTCTGGAAACTCAATCCTTGTCTAATGCCCCACAGTCGCATCTCTAACACAAGCCTGAGACTGTCTCAAATATAGAACAGCTCGGGGAAAGAGCAGGGTAATAAAACGTGAAAGAAAAGTCTGTAGCAAAGACAAAAAAACTTAACAAAGAACCAGTGGAAGACCCGAATGGTTTGAGGTAACAGTTAAATGTGAGGGACACCAGAGATATGTATGATCTCTGTGTTGTGACTATTATGTGGACGACCATAGACCCATGCCCACATACCAAAATACTTGTGGTAACCACAGCAACATTTGTTATTGATCTTAGTCAATAATAACACACTTGAAAACACATTACACGACCACTCACGTGCACTGGTCAAGTGTGTGCAGGTGTACAATGGAAGCAGATTGTCTATTGCTGTTGGTTGCAGAAAATACTAGAAATGAGGACCAGGAAGTGCAACAGACCAAGACCGTGCATGTCTTTTCTTGGACTGATGACGAGGTGGAACTGTTAATGGGAGGGTTAGCAACAGTATGCAAACTCAATCAGGAAGGAAACGTGTGCGCCCGCGTCATTGGTTCCAAATGTTTCCCTTTCTGCCTGTACAGACGAAAAATGCAGCCCCAGGGTTTTCAAACTAAAACAGAGCCAGCAGCGTTTACGAACGTTTCATGGGCTCCAAAAAATTGGAACTAAGGAGGAAAGCAGCAAAAGTTATGATCTTTAAAACTGAGCCATAGGATTGTTGACGTAGTCTTTGTCCCGACCTGGGGCCACATTCAAACATTCTGAGAATATCCTAAGAAAGCCCCTAACTTTAATAACCATAAAATGAACAGTGAAATCAATTGGACTAATAATAGAATTGAGTCTCTATTGAGACATGGTGTAATTATAAATAGTCTATTTTATGTAATGGATATCTGGTGAACACACTGTAAGGCTAACATTACACGTCGCCTACAAAATGTTTTAAAACACAGCCCTGCTTGTGCACCTATTCACATACTGATAGTTCTTCTATGTGTATTTACCACGTTGCTGATTTCAGAACTTTATCTATTTTATATTAACCGAGATAGAATGGCTCAGCATTCATGAATTTCTGTGATTGCTGGCCAGTCTATAGAAGTAGTAGCAGCAGCCATGGTTCACACATGTATCCGTCAGAAAACCATGAACGAGTATGAAAGGTAGCGGTGTCTTGCAGTCTATATGTTTTTACATAATAAATTGAATTGATCTCTGTCCACATGAGCTTTTTAGATATCAGTAATAGTCACTGTCTAAACCGACGCACATGAAAACGTCTATCACATGACCGTTTACATACACTGGGCATGTGTGTGCTGGTATAAACAGATAGCAGATTCTCTATTCGGCAGTTGGTTGCTTAGTTACAACAAATAGTTTGAACGAGAAACAACAATGTGAAAAAGTACGACGAGGGATTTGTTGGAGGTGGAGCTGTCACCAACAGAAGTGTTATTTCAACATTTCCAAACTGTTTTCCATTTCAGGCGTTTGAAAACGTCACAGTAGTGACGGCCAGTGTAAACATAGCAACAGTGATGCATTTTAAAACTAAAACATGGCAGTGTTATTGAAGCCTACGTCAGGAGGAGACTGCAGCACACACAGGTTAGCTTTATACCATTAATTTAAACTGAATGCAGAGAAGTTTTTGGTTTTCTCTTCTGCTTTAACATTCAATATGTAACTCTCACTGCTAGGGGTCTTTTAAACAAGACCTCGTCTGATGTTATGAAGCAGTGTGGGATCATGGGAGAGATTATACTTTGAGAAACTCTTATTCTCTTTGAAATCCTCGTCATTACAAGGATCTAGTCATAACCGTGACGACAAACTCTTAGAAAACGGCATAATTATTAGACTTTTCTCGTAATTTCAAAAGAGTGACTCTTTGTAGTAGGAAGCTTAGTAAATATGGCCCCAGGAGAGTGGGGTGTTTATGATGGTCCACCACAATGTTCCGATGATGATGAACTGCATCAGGGATTTCTGCAGCTTAATTTGTCTCTGGTTCACACATCATACCCCTCCTCTTCCAAATTGACAAAGACGTCATAAACTCACGCTTTTCACACAGAAATTATTACAACTGAAATAGTCTCATATTCCATCTTCACACTACATTTGTGGTATGACAGTTTCAGAAGAAGGTGTGGCTAATCCAATCCATTTGTAATGAGCAAGGTTTTCCCAAACCGTGGTCTCACTCACTCACTCACTCACTCACTCACAC